CCCGGCGACCACGTCCTCCCGCGTCGCCCGCTGCGGGGCCACTCACCGCAGGAGTATGGCTGGGCGCGGGAGGGGGCGGGGACGGGGCATCCATGCGCACTCCAGCGACTGCCGCCTGGCCTTGGGACACCGCTGGGCCTCTGCGCCTCCCCTGGGGAAACAATTGTGGTTCAAGGGGAAGGCGTGTCGCGCTCAGACTGTAGCTCGGAAGGCTCCGATGGGGAAGCCGGTCCAGGAGGACAGAGAGCACAGAGGGCCCCAGGCCAGAGGGTCCCAGCCAGGACCTGCCCCCGGGAACCAGGCTGGGGCCAGCAACCCCTCACCGCCCTCACTGACCTGAACTGGCCACGGGAATCTTCACCCCAGGATCCCCCGCCAGTCCGAAAACACCACCATCACGCCCACGTGCACAGACACAGACGTGCACACTCACATACACACACCTACTTACACCCACGATCGTGCTCTCCTGCACACACCATCACACACATATCCATCCACACATGCACATAGACGCAAACTCACCCTTACCTACAGACACGCACGCTTGCGTGTACCCTCACAGACACCATCGTGCACACTTGCACACACAGACATATACATTCACATAAACAGAACACACCCGAACACATCCTTATGCAATCACACACGCTCACATATGCCCTCACACAGTGTTCAGATTGACATACGCCACATACACAAGCTCGCTCATCAACACCCACACCACTTTTGGTCACTCACACCATACACACTCGTACACACTCCCACGTGGACACACATACATATGGCCTCAACAGACATACACTCGTGTGCACATACGTACCCGAACTCACTCCACACAGTTACATGCAATTGTCCCATATATCCTCACACGCAGAGACACACACAAACTCACACTGTCACACACTCAAACCATCACGCATTCATTTACACACATATGTACTCACTCTAAAATGCTCACACACACACACTATCACATCCCCACACTCTGCATCCTTCACCCGCTCCTCCCCGAACTCGATACTGGGCACGCGCACATCAAAACAACTCACTTAGATACATCCTGATTTGCAGCAATCGATACTGACTCATAACTGTTTGAGTATGAATTTGTACCTATTTATTATTTATGTTAATTAATACCTCTATTCATCATTCCCGGAGTTATCCCTTGATGTCTCTCTGGCCCACAGGGATGCAAGGGCCATGGGACCACGCCTGTCCTCTGTCCTGGCCCTGGCTGTGTTCCCCAGTGTCTTCTGACCACCCAGCACAGAACTGGTGTCCAGTCAGCACTGGGGAAAAAAATGCCGGCAGTCGAGGGATCTTGTTCTCCCACTGATAACCATCACACATTCATTTACACACATATTTACTCACTCTAAAATCCGGCAGTCGAGGGATCTTGTTCTCCCACTGATAACACTTTAAGCTCCCAAGTTGCCATGTTGAGGAGTTCGCCATCTCTGGGTAGAGGATGAGGCTGTGTTTCCTGACCCCTCCTCTTTCCCATTCACTGGTGACGTCATGGCAGAGTCGTCTGGGGAGACCGTGGCCTGGGGAAGGGGAAGGGGTCCAGGGGGCAGTGTGAGTCCTTGTGTTGTTGGGTACGTCTCAACATATGGGACAGATGTCCCTTTCCTCTGCTCTGCAGACGCCAGCACTTCACACTCGTGTGGATGCATCCTGAGCCTTCCACATATGCTGAGACAGCCGTGGGTCTGTGCCCAACACCCACAGAGCTCCAGGAAATGCTGAGCAGGAAGAAGGGCTGCGTGGGGAGGCAGGAAGGCCGGGGGGCCCGAGAGCTGGGTAAGCATCCAGAACCTTGGGGGCCCCAGGAGCTGGAATGAGGATGCACACGTGAGCCGAGCCTTTTCGGACCCTCTATCTGTCACAGCTGGCTCTGGGGAAGCTGGTCCACAGCTCAGAGCCAGGCAAACAGGCCACGGACACTGCAGATCCGGCCCTCAAACCAGCCCAAGACAAAGTACCACATAACAGATGATGTGACGGGAGGTAGCCATGGGGCCAAGGTTAGGGGACAGGGGTCTTCTATTTTGCAAGAGCCCTCACCTTTTTCCAGTGTGACTTACAGGGCTTTCCAGCATCGGTTTCATCCTGGCTCAGAGGGACTGGCCCCAGCTAGCAAGCGTGGCATGCCTAGAAGAGGGCTTTAGACTTGGCTAGATCTGGGTGGGGATCTGGACTTGGAAAAGCCACTGTTCCCTGACCCCTGGGTCTCTCTGTACAGCCCACTTCCTGGGGTCAAGGTGAAGAATAAAGGAGACAATATTTACTCACGCAGCACCTAACACACAGTGGGTACTTCATCATTATCATCACAAACCCAGATCAAACCCAGGGCCACAGGGAGTAACGTCGCTTCCGATGGGCGTGCAAGGGACCTGTCCCTAGGAAATCATCTTCAAGGGCTTGGCCACTTACTGAGCAGGTTAAGGCTTTGATCTCTGTCCTTTCCACATCAAATGAGAAAGACGTATATAGCTCAGCACGTGCTCGCAGAGCACTCGTGTCCTTGTCACCACGGCAGTGTCCCTTTGTCAGGGGCATCCTGGCCAATGAGCTCTGCTCTGTTCAAGGTACTGGGAGTGGTGGTGTTGGGAGATGAGATGGACACCCCAAAAGTTAATATCCGGCCTATATAAAAATTGAAAAGCATAATAATTACCCGATGACCAAGGAGCTGTGGATGGTCGCGGTGTGTCCCGGGGCCGAACTTTGTGTGGAGGCCATGAGTGCATGGCGGGCAGAGGCTGCTCTGGGTGGAGAGGCCACGGAGAGCTTCTTCCCCACAATGGAAATTTACACGGGGTCCTTAGGAGATCTCTGCTGCCTGGGGTTCTACTGTCTGACAGGAAGTGGGTCACAAGGGCCACCCCACCTTGGTCTCAGGCGGCAGGATAGGAATAAGCTACCTACTAGCTGAACTGGAAAAGGACGACCCCTCACTAGGCTGAGTGAGGGCCTATGGCAGTGAGCAGGATGAGGGCAGGGGTGTGGCTGGGTACGAGGCAGTGGCCACCTAACTGGACACTTGCTGTAGCCTGAACTGTTGCTGGTATTTGATGGATCGCTAGGCCTGGCTGACCATTCCTCGAAGCAGACACCTCGATGTGGCCAGAGGCCCTGCTGCTCTGGTCCCTGCTCTCACTGACATTCACTGGGAGTGGCTGGAACCACCTGCCCTGTGTCCGGCCCAGGGCACCTCTGGGGGAGGACATGGCTCTAACGTGGCTCCAAGGTTTTCTGATATCACAGACTACCTGGCCTTTCCCTAGGGGTAGACGCAAGGTGAGTGAGGGGCTGATGGCTTACAGGATGCTTAGAGGGTTCATGCTGCAACACCCTCCCCCACTGTCCAGGCTCAAATCCTTTTTGAACCTCTGCACTCAGACCACCAGGTCCCAGTCTCAGCTGGAACACCAGTCAGGGCGGGGTCTTGGGCAAGTCATTCTCTGTCTCTCAGCTTTGGATTCCTGCCCTGCGAGATACATAAAATAGGCCTCCTACGCAGGCGTAGGGCTGATGGTGGCTGAAATGAAGCTGAGCAACGCTTGCATATTTGGGGCCCAACAGGCCTGACCACCTGTCAGGGTGCCAAGAGGGCCAGGGCGGAGGGAGCAACACAGGGACCCTTTCCCCAAACTTCTCATCCACCCCGACCTTCCGAGCCCTGCAGCCTCCCAGATCCCTGGCACTATTTCCACCCAGCCACGGTCCCACCGCGGCTAAGAATATCAGGGCAGCGCGACCCCGAAAGCCCGCGAGTTCAAAGGGTACAAGGAAGCAGCCCACCGGGACCCGAGACACTAGCCGAACTACACTACCCAGAAACCCCCGGGCTTGCCAAAAAGGAAATGTCGTTTTTGCAAGGAGAGGCTCAGCTCTCCCAGCAGCTGCAGAGAGAGGGAGAGAGTGGGGGGAGAGGGGGACAGGATTACCAGGGGGAGGGCAGGTGGCGTGCAGGGAGCGAGGGTGGAGAGCAGGGCGGGCGGTGAGGAGGAGGCGGCGCCCGCC